TTAAATTTACATTTCCCTGATGGATAATGATGATGAGTGTCTTTTCATAACACATGGGATGTAAGTTTAAGAGTAGGAGCCCTGTCATCCTCTTTGAGTTCTCCTAGTACACAGGGTCGGTATATATTGGGGGCTTGGTCAACATTTGTTGACCTCAAATGCAGCAAAGGTGGCCTCTGGGATTGAGAAGATAAAATGATGCTGGAATGAATGTCAGCCTCATGGATTGCAAAGAAAAGGTAGATTTCATTGTGAAAGTAACGTAGGATTGGAATGCAACCTGATATTATTTCGTTTTTGCTATCCACCCCAAATTATCTCCCCAAATATCCACCACTCATTCTAAAATCATTTTACAGTGGTAACAGTACAAGGAAACAGTGAAACACAAGACAAGAGTGGTGCAAAAAGAACAAACTAAGTTTAAAATAGGAGTTAAAATTTCCATTGACCTTCCTTGTTTTAATAATCATAATAAAGAATAATCATGTTAACATAAGACTTAAAACTCTACGTGTGCACACAAAATTCACACCTAGCAAGTTCCTGATCCTGCAGAAGGTAACTCACTTGGTAAGTAAGGATCAGCCACTTGTCTTGCTGAGAATGGTTAAGGCCTTAGGTCTTTTTTTTTTTTAATATATTTTATTGATTTTTTACAGAGAGAGGAAGGGAGAGAGATAGAGAGCTAGAAACATCGATGAGAGAGAAACATCGATCAGCTGCCTCCCGCACACCTCCTACTGGGGATGTGCCCGCAACCCAGATACATGCCCTTGAGAAGGGGGTGCACGCTGTGTGCGAGGAGTCCTGTTTACTGTGGGGGGAGCATCGGGAAGATTGGCAACCATGGCCTCAGTGTCAGCCTGCTCTTAGGGAGCTTATGACCTTAGGGAGAATACTGTGTCATACGCCGGGCCTGCAGCACAGAGCAGAAGGAAAGGAGTGAAGGGTGAAGGTATTCCAGCTGGGAACTTGTGGGAGACTCGGGGCTGGAACATTCCTCGGCCCAGGTGCTCCTCCTATATTTAGTTTGCAGTTTTACTGAAGAGATTTTTTTTACTTAGAAAGGAAAGGCCTTAGTTGGGTTACCACTAGTACATCAAGTGGCATTCCTAGGCCTCTGTTTATGTTGATCTACTGCTCAGGGAGCACTATATCTTACCCTGGAAGAAAAAGACTCAGTGCCAATGTTTTACAAATACAAGCCCTGAATCCTTTCTCCAGAGGAGCAAAGGAAGTGACGCAAGTAAACGAATAATCAGAAAATGTGTACCCGGCTGGCGTGGCTCAGTGGTTAAGCATTGACCTATGAACCAGGAGGTCACGGTTCGATTCCTGTGTCAACTGCTTCTAACTTCATTACTCATAGGTATACCTATCACCTAAACAGGTAAAAACCTTGTGCAAATATATTTTTTATTTGCATTTAACCAAGCTCAGAGGTTAAAACTTACTCTTTAGTTGCCTAAAATGCCTAAGGATCCCTGAAAACATTGTTCGAGCATTTGAATGGGACCAGCGGGGGGAGAGGGAGCATGCAGGAGGCAGCTGATCAATGATTCTATATCATCGATGTTTTTTGCTCTCTCTTTCCCTCTCCCTTCCCCTCTGAAATCAAGAAAAAAAAGAAAATGTGAAAGGAAAAAAAACCAGCACCTGCAATTAAGAGGACAGGTAAAGAGCAAATAGTTGGGGCCACTTTGATTGTAAAGAAATCCACATTTAGAAACTGAAACATTGAGATCTGCATTTGAAAGATGCCACCCCACTGTATTTTATCAGCATTCAAACCACGTTAGTATTCCCTTATCATCAGATGGCACCCAGGCCACTGAAATTGGAAACCTGGCCAGATGAACTATAATAACTTGGCGACAATAACAGAGGATTGGTTCCTTTAAAAAAGCTATTTCCCACATTTGGGGGCATTTGCTAGGAAACTCAGAAGGGCACCAAGTAGGTTAGGGACTGATCAACACTGCTTCCCTTAGGAGAGAGACGTCCTTTCACACACAGCCCACAGCCTGCAGACGTCCCTGCGCTTATCACCAGCATCGCTTTCACTTCAAAGAGAGTTCTGTGAAATGAGAGCCGGACAGCTTACCTGGGGAGGCCATTCTTATAATAACTTGCGCTGCCTAGAGGGCCCCTTTGGTCATTACCAACGAGCTGATAATGCTGACTGTACCTGATGCAGAAGGAAAGGGGAAATAGGTACAGGCCGCCAGGAAGGGCTCAGGAAGGTGAGCTGCGAAGCCAGCCCCTTCCCAACAGGGCGCGGTGGCACACGCAGCGTGGGAGCCCTGCCCGCCTCCAGGCACGACTCCTGGAACTTCTTAGAGGCAGCGAGCCTTCTGTTATTCTGGCTTCTATCAGTGCCTGTGCGGATTTCATGGAAAATTGCCACCAAAGGGCAAAAGAAAACATCCCTACAGTCCAATTGGATCGTGGCTTGATGTGTTCCTTTTACCTACAAGTCAGTGTAGCAGAGGTTGACGTGGACTCTCCAGAGCTTAGAAGGGTGCCTGTCGTACAGGAGGCGTCCAATACATCCTTCACCGAGAAGGGGGCGCACACTTTGTGTGAGGAGTCCTATTTACTGTGGGGGGAGCATCGGGAAGATGTGGCAATGATGGCCTCAGTGTCAGCCTGCTCTTAGGGAGCTTATGACCTTAGGGAGAATACTGTGTCATACGCCGGGCCTGCAGCACAGAGCAGAAGGAAAGGAGTGAAGGGTGAAGGTATTCCAGCTGGGAACTTGTGGGAGACTCGGGGCTGGAACATTCCTCGGCCCAGGTGCTCCTCCTATATTTAGTTTGCAGTTTTACTGAAGAGATTTTTATTTTACTCAGAAAGGAAAGGCCTTAGTTGGGTTACCGCTAGTACATCAAGTGGCATTCCTGGGCCTCCGTTTATGTTGATCTACTCCTCAGGGAGCACTATATCTTACTCTGGAAGAAAAAGACTCAGTGCCAATGTTTTACAAATACAAGCCCTGAATCCTTTCTCCAGAGCAAAGGAAACAGAATAATCAGAAAATGTGTGCCTGGCTGGCGTGGCTCAGTGGTTGAGCATTGACCTATGAACCAGGAGATCATGGTTTGATTCCTGGTCAGGGCATGTGCCTGGGTTGCAGACTCAATCCCCGGGATCTCCTTTACTAGGATTTATGAATCCTAGTTTAATGACCCTTGCCTCTCAGAGGCAGAGCCTGACACACCACTTTCGTCAACTGCTTCTAACTTTATTACACATAGGTATACCTATCACCTAAGCAGGTAAGGACCTTGTGCAAATATATTTTTTATTTGCATTTAATCAAGCTCAGAGGTTAAAACTTACTTTTTAGTTGCCTAAAATGCCTAAGGCGATCCCTGAAAACATTGTTCGAGCATTTGAATGGGACCCAGTTCTGCACAGTAAGCTCTTTTTGTATTTAGAAAAATCTGCACCTTGGCCTATAGTTCTCTGAACTTTCAGCAGAATAAACCTGTCAGTCACATACATAGGAAGAGAGGAAATCCTGGAAATGAGGCCCCTGGATGACTCCCACATTTGTAAAGCACAGAGACATAATCTGTTAACCACAAGAAGACAGAGTTCTCGGTTTAAAATGTCCCCCCTCCTCCCTGGCCCCAAGTGGCCGTCTCTCCTCAGCCCAAACCGATCTTGGTACACGCTCTACTTTTTAAAAATAAACCGTCTCATTAGAACCAATACCATTTTATTAAAATAGCAAGCAATTAGTGTCTCTTAGACAGATGCTCATGGCCCGTGAACAATAAAGAACAGGAGCCCATTTAATTTTAGGTTGGTTGTTCTAGATCCTGGCACAAACTGCTGTGCACCTCAGAAAGGAGTTATTGAAATGCCCCTTTGGTCATTACCAACGAGCTGATAATGCTGACTGTACCTGATGCAGAAGGAAAAGGGAAATAGGTACAGGCCGCCAGGAAGGGCTCAGGAAGGTGAGCTGCGAAGCCAGCCCCTTCCCAACAGGGCGCGGTGGCACACGCAGCGTGGGAGCCCTGCCCGCCTCCAGGCACGACTCCTGGAACTTCTTAGAGGCAGCGAGCCTTCTGTTATTCTGGCTTCTATCAGTGCCTGTGTGGATTTCATGGAAAATTGCCACCAAAGGGCAAAAGAAAACATCCCTACAGTCCAGTTGGATCGTGGCTTGATGTGTTCCTTTTACCTACAAGTCAGTGTAGCAGAGGTTGACGTGGACTCTCCAGAGCTTAGAAGGGTGCCTGTCGTACAGGAGGCGTCCAATACATCCTTCACCGAGAAGGGGGCGCACACTTTGTGTGAGGAGTCCTATTTACTGTGGGGGGAGCATCGGGAAGATGTGGCAATGATGGCCTCAGTGTCAGCCTGCTCTTAGGGAGCTTATGACCTCAGGGAGAATACTGTGTCATACGCCGGGCCTCCAGTGCAGAGCAGAAGGAAAGGAGTGAAGGGTGAGGTATTCCAGCTGGGAACTTGTGGGAGACTCGGGGCTGGAACATTCCTCGGCCCAGGTGCTCCTCCTATATTTAGTTTGCAGTTTTACTGAAGAGATTTTTATTTTACTCAGAAAGGAAAGGCCTTAGTTGGGTTACCGCTAGTACATCAAGTGGCATTCCTGGGCCTCCGTTTATGTTGATCTACTCCTCAGGGAGCACTATATCTTACTCTGGAAGAAAAAGACTCAGTGCCAATGTTTTACAAATACAAGCCCTGAATCCTTTCTCCAGAGCAAAGGAAACAGAATAATCAGAAAATGTGTGCCTGGCTGGCGTGGCTCAGTGGTTGAGCATTGACCTATGAACCAGGAGATCATGGTTTGATTCCTGGTCAGGGCATGTGCCTGGGTTGCAGACTCAATCCCCGGTGCGGGGGCGGAGATGGGGGGAGAGGGAGCATGCAGGAGGCAGCTGATCAATGATTCTATATCATCGATGTTTTTCGCTCTTTCTTTCCCTCCCCCTTCCCCTCTGAAATAAAGAAAAAAAAGAAAATGTGAAAGGAAAAAAACCCAGCACCTGCAATTAAGAGGATAGGTAAAGAGCAAATAGTTGGGGCCACTTTGATTATAAAGAAATCCACATTTAGAGACTGAAACATTGAGATCTGCATTTGAAAGATGCCACCCCACCATATTTTATCAGCATTCAAACCACGTTAGTATTCCCTTATCATCAGATGGCACCCAGGCCACTGAAATTGGAAACCTGGCCAGATGAACCATAATAACTTCGCAACAATAACAGAGGATTGGTTCCTTTAAAAAAGCTATTTCCCACATTTGGGGGCATTTGCTAGGAAACTCAGAAGGGCACCAAGTAGGTTAGGGACTGATCAACACTGCTTCCCTTAGGAGAGAGACGTCCTTTCACACACAGCCCACAGCCTGCAGACGTCCCTGCGCTTATCACCAGCATCGCTTTCACTTCAAAGAGAGTTCTGTGAAATGAGAGCCGGACAGCTTACCTGGGGAGGCCATTCTTATAATAACTTGCGCTGCCTAGAGGAGAGCTGGGAGCTGAGCGTTAACAGGGCTTCTCCCCAAGTTACCTAACTTGTCCTACCCTGGGGGTGTGGGGGAGGGGAGAAGGGAGTGCTTTCTAACTACCAGATTCTCAAGTCCAGCATGCTAGGTTCAAATCGAGTGTGCGCTTCAGCTACTAGTTTTGGTCTTGAAACTTAATGGTTAGCATCTGTACAATGGGTTGTTGTGAAGATTAAATAGACGATTGAATGTAAAGTGCCCGGTGTTGGACCTGGCATAAGTAGTTTCTCAGTAATAATGGTCATGTGGAGCTCTTAAAATAGATAGGTCACAAATGCAATGCACTTTATTTCCAAGGAAACCCTTAAAACTCTCTTATATAGAACTTAATGTTTATTTGAAACAAAAGTCTAGCATGTCGTGTTATTCCCGTTTACGTAAATCTGGAGGAATGTTTGCTATAGGACACTGACAAGAGTACAATTTGACAGCTGGTACATTGCCAATGAGGAAAGAGATGGGAAAATATGAAAGAGCAGACAAAAGGCCACTAAAAAGCATTTAAATGTTTAAATGCTTTATGGCACTTAGTGCAGTAATTAATGTTCTAGAAACAGACTGAGTCATTGCAGTGGTGGAATTGGCAGAAAACGATGTGTTTGGGGGCAGAAAAAGGTCTTAAGAGAAATATTTTCATAGAGTAGAAAAAACTAGACTTTTAGTGCCAAAAAGAGAAGATTTTGGTTATATGGAAACTTTCAGCACTCTTGGCAAGGCGTTATTTTTCTAATAGCTTATAGTTACAATCAAAGGGGTTGCAGCATCTCGGCCCAGCCTCAAGTAACGACTGCCACCTATTCTGGAGACCTATGAAAATATCTGGGAGGACATGCAATTGTGGGCTTGGATAACACTGAAATTTGGATTTAAAACATTTTTAGCTAATATTTATTGAGCACTGACTGTTCCAGGCTAAAATCTGAGCACTCTACTCATTTTACCTTAATGTCAGTGCTAAAAAGGGAAATCATTATCGCCTATTCTACAAATGAGGAAAAGGAGGCACAGAGAGGTTAAGTAACTCACCCAAGGTCACACAGCTTGTAAATGGATTTTAAACAGAATAAGTTTGCTCCTAACTCCTAACCACTGCACTGATTGTAAGAACTGCTTTCAAAGGATTGATTTTAATTGCAGTAGAGGAGTGTGATAATCAAAAAAGATGTGTTGATTTAAGACAGAAATTATTTTTCTCTAATGTTTGTATAGCCCTAAAAAAAAGTCTTATTAATTTTTATAAATTCGCTGATACAGTCTATATGTAGATTCTGCTGGCTGTTGCTGATAACAAAATCAATGAACATTAGTGTAACTTCAATGAAATACAGGAAGTTGAACACATAAGACCGTTTGGATGCAGATTAGTACAATAAACCATGAGGATGTGAACATCAAAGAAATGTTAAGGTCTTCAGTGTTTTCCACATAATTGTGAACTGGTCCTCGCTCTACTTGTCAAAATGTTTATGTGCTGCTGGCCTATCGCGTAAACAAAGATCCTTAGACCTTCTCAGCTTAAACAAGAGCTTTGCATTGATACTGAAATGGACCTCTGGAACTTTCTTTCACTCTGAATATAGCAGAGACTGTTCTGTGGTGGACGATTATAACATCTGTCTCTTCTTCCCAGAGCAGTAAAACCAAGCTGAACTGTGATGAGTGGACGTCGTGTTTATGTTTATGGCGGGGTTACATATTTACTCTCATGCCTTTCTCCCATCTGTGCTTTTGATGATGCCCCCGGTCAATGTAATGCTGCCAAATGGTCCGCTAGTGGTTTTTCCCTCAGAATTCGTCAGTTATAATCCTCTTCTCCCCAAAGGTGCCTGCCATCCAAATCCTGGCTCACTAGGATTTATTGCATGTACAATGTTCTAGCCACTGATTTGGGCGCCGGCCAAGCGCTTACTACGTGCAGTAACGTGTAGAGAACGAAGCACTATAGCCTGTCACACAGAGCAGACACTCCAGCAGACCACACACCCACTGCTGGCAAGAGAAATAAAGCTGGAAACTTCTTTCACACACAGACTCACAAACCCAGAGCTGTAAATCATGCAGATATCTGATCTTGTTCCTTAGTGAGGAGGAGAGTTTATTGAAGAGGCCGTCTGCATGTAAAGGCAGAGGCCTAGTTAAGGAGATCCAACAAGGGATGGTGAAATGCCCGGCAACAGCTTGGAGCCATTCCACATCATTCAGGGGCGGGAGGAGGGCTGAGGTACCCAGAACCTGGCAGAGAGAACTCCCAGGCCGTATGTGTGAGCAAACCGTGCCCTTTCCCTGACAGGTAAGGAGCCAGAAGGATAATTACCCCGATCCCTCAGTCTTCATCGGTGTAATTTGTTGTGCGGCATTTTGGTGTACTGTAGGGTTATTGACAAAAAGTGATGTGTTGAAAAATACAATATCTTCATTTGGGAAAGTCAGTGAGTTCAAGTCTTCCACCAGCTAAGCCTGTACCTGATAGCAGCCAAGGTGCGGCAGTAAGCTACGTGGATGCAAATTGTGGTTAAGTGCGGTCACGCTCAGGAACCTGGCGACAGTGGCCTTATGTTCTAAGATGCAGAGTCTAGAATGTTTGTGGCATTGCAGGAAGGAGCTCGCCATGTAAGAGTCTAAGGAAGACTTTCTATTTCTAAAGGAAATATAAACCTCTTACTTCGCCACATATAAGATTTCTGCTAAAGCTAGGTTTGAATCCCAGCTGTACATTGACTGGCTGGCATTCATTCATTCAACAAATATGTATTAAGCAGTCACTCTGTGCTGACACCATTGTCCCAGGCGTTAATATATCCCAAGAAACCAGAAACACCAATCAGAAAGGATATATGCACCCCTATGTTCATAGCAGCACAATTCACCATAGCTAAGATCTGGAAACAGCCTAAGTGCCCATCAGTAGATGAATGGATTAGAAAACTGTGGTACATCTACACGATGGAATACTATGCTGCTGTAAAAAAGAAGGAACTCTTACAATTTGCAACGGCATGGATGGAGCTGGAGAGCATTATGCTAAGTGAAATAAGCCAGTCAATGAAGGAAAAATACCACATGATCTCACTCATTCATGGATAATAAAGACCATTACAAACTTTTGAACAATAATAGATACAGAGGCAGAGCTGCCTCAAACTGATTGTCAAACTGCAGCGGGAAGGCCAGAGAGGGTTGGGGGGCAGAAGGGAGGGGAGTAAGAGATCAACCGAAGGACTTGTATGCATGCATATAAGCATAACTAATGGACATAAGACACTGGGGGGTAAGGGAGGGCAGGGGATTGTCAAGGGCGGGGAAAAAAAGGACACATATGTAATACCCTTTGTAATACTTATAATATTTTTTT